AGCGACTAAAGCACAGACAGAGGCAACGGCTAGGGTCCACTCGACTAGCCATGTGAAATCGGATGTGTCCACCGCACATGCTGATTGTTCTGATGTTAGTTCTGATAAGTATGAGTCGTCCATTGCTAGTCATTTGTTTGAGCATCCTGATTGTCGTGCTGTGTATTCGGATGATTGTTTTTCGATTGTGTCACGTGTACGCAGTGCTAGATTGCTGAATGTTTTGGAAGCTGTATACATCCACACAAGGAAACCCAACCTTTGCAAACAGAAACAAATCAAATTCACACTTAGGCTGTTAGGTAGGTCGTCAAAACCTCGTTAGTTACATGTATGTCCAGTGGTTGTCTCTTGTTGTCGCACTACATGTCGCGCTTATTGAGTTTTCTCGCATTTGCACCTTTGTGTCATTATTGCAATTTTCGCTGTTTACTTTAGCTATCTTCTTTCTTTCTTTCTTTCTTTTTGCGCTGTTTTACCACCTTCTTACTGTATTTAATCCACTGTTCCTGTTCCTTTTCTCTTGCCTGTATTTCACCTGATGAGAAGGCTTGAAAGTATACTTGTGAAGACAAAAACTTTCAAGATGTTTGTAATGAGCCTGAAGTGTGTCCTTTTTATGAGTATTATGTCCAATGTATGAGTAATAATTAAATCCTGTATATACAATAACTTGTTCCTGATACTACATATATTATGCAGAGCTCACTGACTTGTCAGTTTGAGCACTCTGGCAAGGTACGTTCGCGCCTGATTGGAAATTTTTATTTTCATTGCTATCAGGTTCGGCCTCATTTTCTCTGTGCTGCGCTGATGAGTTCAAAAAGAACGAAACAGCATGCTGTCCGCAGATTGAGTATATTTATGTGACAAATATTTAATTTAGAATGCCAGTGCGTTGTTGGGGTATCGGATGCTGGTATCAAGAGTACATGAAAACCCCCGGTTTTCATGTACTCTTGCTGGTATCAGTCCATCCTCAACTTGGCTCAAGCGTGCAAAAAACATATCTCTGCCACTATGGGTGCGTTCTTATATTCTCTAGCTTCTAGAAGAAGAAGAAAAGAGAAGTCGAAGAAACTGGGATTACTCAAGAACGGGCCTCGAAGAATTCGGAGATATTTTGCACATGTCAAGCAAAATGAAGCGTCAAAGGGGCCGTGATCTTGAGTGATGAATGTATGTGCGTATGCGAAAAGGGAAATGCGTACACTCATGATGAACACGTGGCTTTTAGTCGTAGTTCGCATGCGCTGATCCCAAACCGCGGGAATCTCCAAGTTTCAACCACCTCTGAAGCTTGGAGAGCTTGGAGAGCTTTGGAGAGCCTCCTAAAAGTCGGAGAGGATATAAGAACAGCTCTCGAACTTTTCGGAGAGTCTCCAACTTTTCCGAGAGGATTTAAGTTTCATCGGTTCCGACCGTTGGAATGCCCTCCCCGCTGCAGTCCGCTTATGCTCTTCCCTGCATCTATTCCGTAATTCAGTACTTTCATTTCTAGGGTACCCTGTAAGAAGGCCTTAGGCCTGTGGGGATTGCCCTATCAAAAATTTGATAATAATAATAATAATAAATAATAAAGAACGCACCCTATATATGAGTCTGTGCAGCATCTTGCTGAGCTCTGTTCTTTCCCGAACTGAACTCGTGAATATCAGGAAGTATGACGTCACGTGTAAAAAAACAATTGTAAAATTTTAATGTTCAACAAACGCTCAAAATATTTTGAACCAGACCGTCAGACGACTTGCATGTTGTAGACTTGTAAGTTGTAGTCCGACTTGAAGTTGAAAGCAGTTTTTTGGCTGGTCATGAGCTGAGTATATTAGTACGAGGCAGGAGAGAAATAGAAAATTAATCAGAAATGGCATTGATGAATTGAATAGAGGTACATTCTATGATTGTAGCTGGCAAGGATGTCTCGGTTAGTTCATCGCTGCTGCATCAGTCAAGTCCGAGCGTATGCACATGCTCACCTCGCTGCCAGCAGTCACCAAGGAGTATCTGCACGCACGAAGCACTATGCCTCGATGGAAGCTTCTCCTGCGAAGCAATTCGAGGTATCACATACTAATTTAAAGTGGCTGGCAGATAGAGTACGTGGAAGTGGTAGTAGGGTTGACAGTGACGGTAAAGAAATTGCTGATGCGTTCAGGACACTTGTGGACGTACAGTCCCGATTTCGCAAAGCCCGGTCACAAGCACCAAGCTCTCCTGAGTGGGACATTGCTGTTCTACAAGACATAGTCAACAGTATGGCTACGTCTAAGCTGCTAGCTATGCATGCTCCTGCTATACACTCTGTGTTCCGCTTTGCATCACAGGAGCCCAAGTTAGACGTTTCTGGTCTGATCGAAAGCATTGATGCTGATCTATATGTGATCGGCAAGAAGGTACAAGCAAATCAGCTGTATCATTTAGTTGTAGGTTTGTCATATGTTCACTCAATGAGGTATGCACGTCTTATATTGGAAGAGATGTTCGGCTGGTTTCAGCAGCGGATGACGTCCATGTCGCCACATCATGCTGTCCTGACGATGCAGGCGTTCAGTGCCAGCAACCTGCGCATTGATGTGGGCAGTGTGGAGCGACTAGGCTTGTTCTTAAACGAGCATGGCCTGTCGAAGATCAGAGCGCAGACGCTGGCTGCGTTTGCCAAGCTGTTGCTCAAGTTGCACATGGAGAAGTCGTGCCCCATCGACTTTGCCACGGAGATAGTGGCACGGGCCGGAGACGGTGCGGAGACATTGCTCACCTTTCACGACTTCCTGCATGTTTTACTTGTGGCACGTATGTCGGACCAGCTGACGCCCGAAGTCCTGGAGGCAGTGCGTAGGTTCTTTTTGCCGAATTCCAATGTCAACCAGCACTTGCAGCTCATCCGTTTTCTGTTCTTCGCTACCAGTAATCCTCACGTGGAAGCTCTGGCTGTGGAAACTATCAAGCGCATCATACCTCACTTGGAGAAAATCACGGCATTTGAATGTTGCTCTTTGGTGCGTCAGATAAGCAAGTGGGATTACTCGGACAATGAGTCTTTGTATACTATTTTGCGTCGTGCAGCGTCCGGGTCACCAGTGACAACTGAGAGTCTAGTTGATCTGCTTTATGGCTTGAAAGTGGCTAAACTGCCCGCTGTCCGTGATGTGAAGGCTTGTCTGGTGACTCTTGTGGAGAATAATGCCATAGAAGTTGCAGACCTTAACCCGCGTCTAGCTGTCCTCTTGGCCGTCGCCTGTGCGCATTTCAACATCGGAGCGGAGCAGTGGTTGGATTCTTTGTCAGCGTATTTGGAAGCTCACCTGGCTGACATGGTAAAGTACGACCCGTCGAGTCTGGTGATAGTCCTCGATGCACTGGTTCACCTCAGCTACCCAATACCTGACAGCATATGTGGCCAGTTGCCGAACGTGGTGAGCGGCGAGCAGCTGGTGACGGACGGTGTACGCATGCTTCGGTCGATATGGCTGGGTGGCGACATGTCCATCTTCAGCCGCCTGTGTGACATCTATCGACTGAGTGAGCCAAGTCGCTTTGCCACCGTGCAACTGAAGTCAGTCTATCCCGCCGTTGACTATCAGCAGATCACGTCCGGCAACCATGCGTTTAACCAATCACTGCCAAAGCTTCCCGACGAGACTGTGCTCTCGTTGGCTTCGCGTGTGCGCGGTTCGTGCTGCAAGAAACGATGGATGAAAACGTACGTGAACGATGTGGTGCTGGCGCTCGGCATTGATTATGTTCAGACGCTGGTCGTGTCACAGTACGGCAATGTGTGCGACATCGCTCTGCTTCTGGATGAGTTTGGCGAGCTTGCACCCTGGCAGCCGGGCTACGTGTCCAAAGTTGAGGATCTGCCAGTGGTGCGCGTGCATGCTTTACCGCCAGGCACTGTCCCCGTGTCCGTGTGTATTGCACCGGCGGCGGAGCTCTGTATTGGAACGCTGGACACCACGAGGCGCAACGCCAGAACACCTAGCCGCGCCAAGGCTCTGCACATGGAAGGCTGGCGGTCGATCGTCATTGACGTATATTCGGCTCGCGCAGGTGTAGACTTCCTGTTGACATCTCTCAAAGCTGATAGCCAGTGAGTTTCACCGCACTGGAAATGAATAACCCAACTGGTCGCTGATGTGGGTGGTGTGCCACCAACGTCCAAGCCACACTAACATATCTGCTGTCTGCTGGCCAGATGGCGGACTTTAGTTTAGGATTTGTATAATGTGTGGCATGACTTTGTTCCCATTGAGCCATCTTGAAATGTCCTTTAGTCTCTGATCCAGCCGCTTTCATGTTGCATTTTTTTCTCTGACGGCTACAGGCTAGGCTGTGTGGAACGCTACGTTTAATAATACAGTTTTATGTTCAGTTTTCCCATGAGTGTTCGAGTTACGTGCTTTGTGCTTTCTCTGTACCTGCCAGTGCTTCGTGACATGGCACCATTTCCTCTGTGTACGTGAAGTACACATGGAGTGCTACAGTGTAGCCAGAGTGTATTGCTCCGCAAGAGTATGCAACTGCGTATGCCATGGGGTTTCCGACTGCGAAAACTCACACCGCGGAATTCCAAGTATGTTTTGTGCTACGCACAACGAAGACTAGCGTGGGCTCAGTCTGGAAACTATGATGTTGATACCTCGCACAAATTGAGTGTGTTTCTTTCAGGGAGTGCTTTTTTCTATTCTTCTGCTCGCTATAAGTAGGTTGGGGACATGCAATGTGAACACTACGCCACAATAATCACGATCAGAGTTTTCACTGCGGCCAGACCCCATAGGCAAGCCATGCAGAACTGCACACTCTTGCCATGCAGAACTGCACACTCTTGCCATGCAGAACTGCACACTCTTGCCATGCAGAACTGCACACTAGACTTGCCGTCTTGGACAGATGCATGTACAGTATGTATATTCTTGCCATAATTCTATGAGGGCTCGAAGCGAGTGTTGACTAAAAACCAGTTCTGCAAGCATCCTCGGCCACAGCTTAGAAGATAGTAGTACAGTGTGTTGTCCAGTGACCTGGACGTTTTCGTTCTTCACCATGTCTTGTAAAACATGTGTAATAGAATATAGATGATACACGGCACAAGTTTAGAGCACTGATAGAAAGTGTGATATAATCAGTTGCCATGGACAATAATAATAATTATTACTGTTGTAATAAAAATATATGTACACAACAGACTTGCTGAAGCCAAGCACTTTAAACATTGTAGAAATAATGTAATGGGTAATGTGTTCTTGTTGTTTCAACGGCAGACAAAATCTAACGACAAACGCAAACGTAGCAATAAAGTACCAAGTTACTGGCATAGTTTGAAATCAGGATATCGATATTGGCTTCAGTGCATCAACTTTCCTGGGCGGATGGGGTCGCGCCATAAAGATAATGAAAAACTTCTTGAAATAGGCAGATTTAAGGATGTTGTCGTTCTTGGTTTGGCTTCACTTATCTTTGCAATTCCACACACACACACACGCACGCTAAACTGGCAACGAAAGTTTCACTCTGGGTTTACCTAGCTTGATTCAATTCTGTGATTGTTTTAGCGTCTATTTGTAGCATGGTGACGAAGTAACGATAATGATTGTCTTCACAGCTGGGTAATGCTCACACCATGGATATTATCAGTGCGATAGGTTTGCAGGATTTCTTTGGGTACATATCCAATTGCGCCAGTCTGCGGATTGCGTACATATCGCCAGCCCTTGGCGTATCCGCACCACACGTCGTTGTCGTCTCTTATCTCTGACGAGCAGCGTTGCAGCACATCGCCAGTGTGGGCGTTGAGCAAGGGTTTCTGCGTCGCCGGGAAGTCAAACAGCGCGATGTACAGTGGCTGCAAAACAGCTGGTACTGAAGAGGACCGGGCGACAAGACTGTGTCCATTCTTCCTGTTGATCCCAAGTGTGTTGGGCCGTGTCGTAGCTGCTGCTGCTGCCGCCGCCGCTGCTGTGGGAGCATGGCTTGTGGGCCTGTAGTCTAGCTGGTTGCTGAAGCTGCGCTGTGCAAACTCTCGGTTGGGTGCGTCGGACATGACACGGCCCACCCGTCTCTTCCCCGCCTGGTGATGTCGCACGACTGCGCTGTCGGGCTGCTGGTACACGTGACTGTCACATGGCTGCTGAAATGTGCTCATGCTTGAAGCTAGCGGGTCGCTGCCGTCCGCTTGGCGGTAGTCCAATGAGCCCACGATAGGCCTGGGCCGGGTCCGCTGTCGTTCAGTTACACCAGGCCGTCTCCGGCAGAAGTCCGGTGAGGTGGCCCTGGTCGTGGGTGCACTGTGGTGAAGGTATGCAGGTAGGCGAGGTTTCGGGGCTGTCGGTCTGCACAGCTCCTCTGCATCGCGCACTGTGCCCATTGTATTGGCCTCATCCTCTTTGTCCTGCATGAAGGGCTTGACAGGCGCTAGTCTAGCCTCAAAAACACCCTCTTCTGCTTCTTCCTGGTCATTCTCAGTCAATCCGTCTCTTCCTTGCAAGCCATCATGTTCACAGTCGGGCTCATTGACTCCTGGTCGCGATAGGTTTTCGTACCTTGGGCCAGCGTCGCTAGTTTCGCCAGGAATGTTCTCATACTCGTGTGCATCTGTGGATGTGCAGACACTTTCGGAGAATGTCACGCTGTACCCTCGTCGTCTGCCTTTCTCCGCGGCGGCTCTGAGAGATGACAGGCGTCGGAAAGTGCTGACGCTTCTAGGAGCTGGGGCCGGGCAGGGCTGCTGCACGGGTTCATCTGGCGAACTAGCTGCCGCTTGTATCTTCTGGTTGGCATGCTCTTGTACGGATGGCATGCCCAAGCGGCCAACAATCGGAGATCGTGCTTCCAGTTTCGGAGCATGCTGCTGCTGGCCAGCTTCAGTCTTGTTCTGGTTCTGACTGCTAGTCTGAGTGCCCTCGCCAGTTGAGTATACGTGTGAAGTCTTACTGGTGTTTGCTCGGCGTGCAACCTTCATCGCCTTATTGGTGGCTCTGCGATACGTCTCCCTCAATGTGGAGAATGGCGCTCTGTTCTGCTTGCGCAGGAGCTGTTTTAGCGGACCGCACGCGCTGTTGTCTTTGATCTGCTGCTGCAGCTGACGATGGTCCGTTCCACCGGGCCTGGTTTGCTCCTGAGCGCCATTGATCTGGCAGTCTGTGCCGGTAGGTCGAATATACAAGTTCTCTATCTGATGATTGAGGGAGGCTCTCAGCGATAGCTTGCTGCAAAGAGATGGTTTCTGGATGGCACCACGTAGTCGCTCGGCCTCCGCTTTCTGAAAGGCAACGATGGCATCGGCATTGAAATCTCCCGTCCACTGCAGAACACTGTCGCTCGTCTCTATCCGACAGCACGCTGCTGGTACGTAGCCAGCTCGACCATGGACATCGGCCGCCAGCACCCATGTGCCTTTCTGCTCTAGGTACCTGAGAACCTGGCCTTTACTAACGGGAAGCGCATCCTCGTCACGTGCGTGAAAGTCCTCTCCGATCGTGATGAACAGATCAATTTTCCCGACAGGACTAGCGCTGTGTAACTCCACATCCGATGTCTGTTCTTCCGCGAGTCCTGGCATGGTGGTTTCGATTGCTGCTTCTCAAATGTTTTAGTTCTTTGCAGCAAGCGGACGGCGGACGACTGACCTTCCCTCCGTGGACAGATCTTCCATTTACGCTTCCGACTGGGAGTTGCGCGCGTTTTATCCCACGAAGCTCCATGCTTGTGTTTATCGTGTCCATGTTGGAAGGCTTCAATCGAAACCGAGACCGTGCCTCTTCAAAAGACGTCAGAACTAGTCAGAACTAGTCAGAACTAGTCAGGATGGGCTTTCTGCCTCGTCATTTCGCAAGCAGCTGATGTTGCTACTCGACGTCCACTCCTGTAACACAAGTCACACTCGTTGCTGCCGCCACTCCGCTCCACTTGGCGCCGCATTAGCGCACAGCCGACAACAAGAGAGAAGTTTGTGTTGCCTCACTCGCGTTCCTAGTGTCAGTGCGCGCGCTTCTACTAGTTCTAGTGACCGCTCGACTGCCGACAAGTGGTTGGCCGGTTCGAAATTTCACCGAGCGGAAACGGTCGACGACGGCTGGATCGAGCCGTCTAAACGCTCGCGCACCAACACAAATGAGCAATGACTGGTTATGTGACGGACGGCGTAGGTTTACTTGTGCATGTTAGACTGAAGGTCATCGGCCGTGTCTCGACGACTTCATTCGACTTGGAGAAAACTAGGTGGTTGGTCCGAGGAGAAGAGGCTGCATCCTAGCTATATCCTCTACATCTACAGCTAGTAATAGTAGTCGTGGTAGTTGTGAGCGGATATGATACGTTTTGATTTGTAACACGTTTGCGACGTAAATCTTGCGTACCACAATCGATAAATCGTGTCTCGTGTTGAGTTGTCGATGCATGTTTGTGTGAAACTACAAATACGGGCAAAGCACCAGCTGTGTATTTCAACCCTTGCTAGTAGTAGATCTACTAGTAGTATTAGTATTGGTCTACCAAGTAGATCTACCATGCCAAGCCATCCACGGCGTAGATCTACTTCTAGTAGATCTACTAGCGTGAGATTTGGCAGTACAATGACTGTACAGCACAGGTCGGTGCTAGCAAGTAGCAGCCACCACACTGAGTTTGTCCAGTTTTGTATCGACCGGTGTCGACCATCTCCACCATCAACACTCACAGATGTCTGGCCTGGGAGACTTGGAAATCGACCATAGTACGTATACATTTTGAGACGATTCGTCGATTTCAAGGATCCTTGAGACGTTACCGCTGCCCCAATTGCCAAGCTCAAGTCATGGCAACAGTTACGTATGTGCATGATCATGATGATGCCATTGATGGTGTGGCTGTGGTGGTGGTGGGGATGGTGATGCCTGATGGTGATGGTAGTGTGTGAGGTGACCTGTGTCAACCTGGTAATGCCACTAATGCCTAATAATAATTATGGGTTGTGCTGCTGTGACTATGCTGGTCTATCGCCTTGTCAGGATACAGGGTGACATTATTATCTCCTTTGCTATCCTCTTCTGAAACCACCCTTACCTGTCCTTGCCATGCACCAAGATTCGATGACTATGGTCTGGACTCGTGTTGGCCCGTCGCATACACGTACTGACTACTGGTGCCGAGCCTGCTAATACGATGGTGTTCTGTATCGAAGTGGCAGCAGGCAATACTCGACCGTAGACGCACATAAACTCGGTAGTCGTGTAGATCTACAGTTCTACATTCTTGTAGTTTCGCAGATCAGCTGCATGTCTGCAAGTGGTCAGTCCAACCTAACTTACTTACTTCTAGTTGAGTTCTAGGTTTCTTAGTCTTTACTGGGAGACTCGTAGATCTACACCCTCTAGCGGATGCAATCAGTCACGAATAGAACTGCTGAGCTGTTGAAGGTAGCACTACAAGGAGCAGCATGGTGTGACCCATGATCATGATGATGATGCTGACTCCGTGAGACCTCCTTCCCTTGACTGGACGTGTTTGCATTAGGAATTTAGGTAGAACTACTGCATAACCATGATCATGATAACAGACAGAAGTACATGCCTGTGCACTACTTGCTGTACTTGCTATGTTGAGATGTGTGATAGGAGGAAAGACAGCCATCCATGCCATGCACGACCGCAACAAGTCAGGAAACGCCTCGTAAAGATACACAGTTTGCATGAGCAAAATTTGGTTTGATTTGACGCTCAAGCCTTTGTCAGTAGGTTGGATGGCTGACCTCCTGGCTCCAACATCTCCGGGCTGCCACTCGGAGCCTCCACTCAATAATTGGCATGTCTAAATCGGACTTGATCAGGCTCAACGCTATCATGACCAATGAAGACTGCCCAGGTGCTGATTGGATCGTTACCGACCAGTCACTCGTTAGACATGTATCACAGACCAGCGCCTGTGTCACAGTGTGTGGACCTGGTAGTGACATACCAGTACAGTATGATAGTATGCATTGTAGAGTCTACACGTATCTGAGTGAAACACATGCCATGTGTATGCGACAGATTGGACCGTACACGTTTCCTAAGAAGGGAATGCCCGCAAGGATACTGTCCCAACGTGCAAGTAGATTAAAGTGAACCATCATGATGCATGTACCTCCGGCCTACAGACTCTCTCTCCCTCCCTCCCTCCCTCTCTCTCTCTCTCTCTCTCTCTCTCTCTCTCTCTCTCTCTCTCTCTCTCTCTCTCTCTCTCTCTCTCTCTCTCTCTCTCTCTCTCTCTCTCTCTCTCTCTCTCTCTCTCTCTCACACACACACACACACACACACTCCCTCCCTCTCTCCCTTCCTTCCAAAGTCGGGCGATGGTGGCTGTTGCTTTCTTCCGGCATGATAATGCAGATGAATGTCTTTATCAAGGAAGTGAAGAAGAAGCGTAACAAAGCTGGAGAATACGACATTCTTGCTAAGATCTGACATGGATCATTCGATATTGCAGTCAACCATACTGCCAAGCAGGGAGTCGTAAAATACTAGTAGGTATTTTACGACTCCCTGCTGCCAAGTCTACCAGGATGATCAGTGGCAGTGGCCCAGCAGTACCGAAGTAACCAGTGTTAACCGGCCCCACGGGGGTTAGGTACTCTTGAGCTTACTAATACTAGTAATACCATGATACGGCACTACTGCAACTTCCCCAGGCCCAGGGAGACTCGAGTCATACCAAGGCTGTTTCGGCATGGCTCCCTACATGGCTACAGAGTACAGTAGCTGCCAAACACATCATCATTGTATGGCAGTGACACACCACGTAGTTATTGAAATCGCATAAATCGGACGGTTCGGCACCACTGTACATGACTGTATAATTAAAATTTATGACTGATTTTCACTATGACTCTGAGGTTGGCATTAGTCTGTGGAAGCTGCTCAAAGGGAATCACCACGTACACACAGAGTACCGCATGCTGCAATGTAGGAGTACCCCCCCCCCCCCTCCATCAAGTTACCCCTGCTCAACAAGTTACTTCAGATAATATGAGCCAAACGTAACCCAAAACTTACGGAAGTTGGAGCTTGGAAAAACATGGTACAAGTACACTAGTACAAGTAGTAGTCACACGAGTCTATCCACGGTTCCATAGCTATAGCCTAGGTGCCATGGATACATATTACACACCAATCACCGGCCAAACGCCATAATTATAAATTTATAATGAATAGTCAGCGGTCTTTGCGCACTGAACGGGATAGTAAAAAGAGACCTCAGGTCGGCCGAGTGCACTAGCCTAGGTCTCACCACCCTTTCACTCCTCAATTCTAACCACCGAGATTGGAGTCCATGGGCACTTGCAAAAAACGTGACCAGGAGCATCTACCGTACTCCGAATGTTGACAATCAAATTTCACACACAGTAATTGCTTCTCTGCACATACACACAAACACATACTTCAGTACATGCACACACAGAGCACAGTTGCTGTCATCCTGTTGTTGATTAGTTTTAGAAACAAAAACTTGAAAGAGATAGTGCCACAAAAATGTTCTGTATAATTATCTGTAGGCAATCTTCAATAATTATGTGATAAAAAGGATAGCTCCTGAAGCAACGGGCATTTGATAAGCTGAGAAACACAACACAACACTTTTCTGTATTTCTGTGGAAGCGCTAAGCTCTGGCACGCAACACTTTTAAGAAGTATAAATAAAAAACAAAAGCACAACAAAATCAATGTGCTATACAAGTACAATACAATCCGCCCATAGACATGTGAATACCAACACGGAGGTAGACATTGCGAAGAAGAGTGTGAAGCGTGAAGCGCTATCTGTTATCACACCAAATTGTGGGCACGTTGTGAGTGGGTGGATAAACCAGAGATCACGGCTAGTATTAGGTGGTATCCGTTGGCTGGCTGCCTAGAGTAGGTCCATGACCTGGGAAGTGTACAGTGTGGATTCTGAACGGCTGTGGGTTAGAACTGAGCTGATGGTGTGTGGGGTGATGGATTCTAAGTAGTAGTACTGACTGGGCCATGGTGACTATGGTGTTGCACCAAGGCTAGTAGGGGTGGGTGAACACTGCGTGATTGCAGGTGACAAGGCCGCATGCATTAATATAATATAGCAAAGAAAAGCAACTCAACACGGCACCCAACATCAACGATGAAAATAAAAAAGAGATCACAAACTCACCGCGTATGGTCACGCGCTGTGCTACATGATATCACATCACACACGCGTGCCTGCACACACGCACACACACATACACACATTTCAAATACTTTTGCACCGATATTGACACGGCTGTCGACAACTTGAAGCACTAAAAGGATGCCGGGCTGGCAGAGAGAGAAAGGAAGCAGGTTGCTGTCACATAGTATATCATCAGCTGGATAGAACACTTTTTTTGTTGCTATAATCACACCAGGAATTTTCAAACTTCTTACTGGGCTGTCCGGAGCAGGAGAGCACAGCGGTGCTGGTAAAACTTGACAGCAGCTGTGTGATCACCGTGCAAAGCGTCTTGTCCAGTCCTTGGCCATACGGTCATGCTCGCTGCGATCTTGCAGATACTGGCGCGCAATGCCAGCGACTAAAGGGTCATCTTCGGGATTGAAAACGAACAGCAGCAGCACACACAAATGGAGAATCCACATTAGGGATTTTCCACATCAAGAGTAAAATACCCCCCCCCAAAAAAAAAAAGAGTGCAATTGATTGCACAATCTCTATCCAGCGCTGCGACTGCGGAGTTTCACAGCACACGGCATGGTTTAATAGGTTACGCTGGACAACAGGGCAAAAGGACCCACCCCAGCCGGGAGTTGTACCCAAACCGTAGCCGCAGAGGTTATCTACAACAACCCAGTGACTAGAATGCACAGGATGCAAACAGCGTGTTTGTCACGTGATGTGAAGTTCTGCCGTCGCAGATCCCTATACTGTAATTGCACGCTCTTGGCAATTGTGTGCTCTTGATAGTATACCGCACTAGGGCTTGAAACTCAATGCCGATATCGATTATAATAATTCCACCGAACATAGCACATTGCCAAATATGGAATATATAAGAAATGTGCATGAGTACACTGGGATCAGGAATGTACTTCACAACAGCCTACACTAGTAGTAGTCAGCACCATTCCCAGGTGGCTGTGAAGGAAACTACATGTACCTTCATTGTGCCATGGGTTCTACACAGCATGTGATGTAGATTCACTTGGATTGCACATGATCAAAGTTGGACAGAGGTCAAAGTTCATCATGAAAGGTCAAAGTTCACGACCTACCATTTCTTGTGGGAAGCTTCCGTGTACCAATACACACACATCAGTATTCTATGTTTGTGATTCCCCGCTGATGAAGTGTGCGAACGGACTGGTGCATTGCACCAAGGCTCTTGATGGCACATATACATGTCCAGGCGCGCGCCCCGTATGGGTTCCTGGGTGCCCGGAACCCCCCTTTTTTTTCTCGCTAAAAATGCAGGATTTTGCTTCATTTTTTGAAAAATTTCCCGGGGACGCCCCCCTTGAAGGGCACCGGCGCACGCGCCCGTGTCAACATCTTACTTTATCAATAGACAATGCAGTGGTGGACGACTCTTGTTCACTGTACATGTAGACTGTACATGTAGTAAACTAGCAAAGCATGCAGTAAAATCGAGTTGATTCCAGTATGGTCTACTTCGAATATTCGCTTTTTTCAAATTTAGTATTCGAAGTTCCGTTCTGGATGTAAGGGTTTGAAATAATTTCACTTGCGATCGTGGTGGTACACCTTTTTCCAATCACCCTGGCACAGTCTCCACTACATTCTAGCAATGACTCAGAAGGCTTAGGCCAAACATCTGCCACCCCATAATTAAATACATCAGCACTATGCGAGGATGGAGGTTACGCGAAGGACATCGTGTCATGTACTAGTATACTGTATGGTGTAAAGCATCTCAAATGATGATGCAATCGCATAACCTCTATGATGTACTGAATACCAGTGTAGAGTGGGTGCGATGTAGGTAGGTAGGTAGGTAGGTAGGTTTCTAACTGTTCACCTGGATTGCAGTCAGTGAGAAGAGAGCAGACGGAGAGAAGAACTGTGCGGATTGTCATGGCAGGACTCCACGTGTCCTTCAGCACGTCAAGGCAGATCTCACCCTGTAACAGCAGAAGCAGTTAAAGACATGTACAAGCTCTGATCAAGCTAATCACATAGGTGCAGCCAGAACACCAAAGTGGTGATTTGTAGATGCTAAGCAATGCAGTGCATGGGCTAACTATTACCCCCCCCCCCCCTTCCCAGTGACCCACGGCAAACAGGAAATTGTTTTGAGGACGTGTTTATTCAAAAAATTGCCAAAAAAGACTCAAAGTCCTTCTTGTGGATGCACAAGTGACAAAACGCGGGAATCTTCCACCTCAAGAGCTGGAAGAGGCAGCAGAGCTTGGCAGAGGATAAGTGAATGCTCTTCCAAATTTTGGAGATTTGGCAGAGGATAAAAGAACGCACCCTCAGCAGCATGTCAGTGAGTCGAGAGACCGGGAGGTGCACCTCCAACGACGCATAGATGAGCTCTCTGCACAAATCGTGGAGTTCAAGGAGGACGTTTGTGTGTCCCTTGGAAGGAAGTCCGCTATTACGGCCAATGATTTCTCCTCGGAGCTGCCCGGCAGTACTCTCAACAGCCAGTGTACACGCCGTACTCATAACAAGGGCAACCGTGCAAGCAAGAGGCAGGAAACAACTGGAGCGCACGTGGAGGCCGTATCCCGTAGCGTCACTTTCAAAACGAACGAGGACAGTGGGCCCTCAGGCGCGGAGCACTCGGATGCAGACGACTTTCAGCCCGTTGGAAGACGTCGATCCAGACACATGCCAGCCAAGCCTGTGCCCAACGCAACCCCTACATTGGAGGCCATCCAGGACGATTCTTGGCAGTTGGTCGCTCAAGAGCCTCACCGCAAGAAACGTGCAGTTGTATTTGTTGGCAATCTCAGTGCCAGGTGCAATGACCAACAGCTAAGCGAATTCATTACAACATGCTCCAACGCAGTGCACCATTCAGCTGTTGTTCATGACTGCAGTGTCCGTGCGAGCAAGAATGGAATGATCACAGGAAGACGAACTGCTGATGCTGATGCCTTCCCCACAGTCACCTCCATAAAATGTACAAAATGACGATCCTCTGGGAAGAGATAGTGCACTATGTGCATGGTGCAATAGTTCAACAGCAGCTGATGAACTCAATTTATCGAAGAATGCAGCTGCTTCTCGCTGATTTGTGGAGAAGAAATGATCACCCCATGGAAGAAACAGGGCTATGTATAGTGCAATACTTCAGAACAGCATAGTCATTCTAGTCAAATCTGTTTTTGTTTTTTTGAGTGCTTCATCATCATGCTTTACGTTGTCCAAGTCACCCCTGTGGGCAATAGCAAACTGGTGTCCAGGCTATCGAGAACAAGTGATGATGCACGTAGACGAATTCTCGAGCGTGCCGAACAAATTAGAACGGCACGATTGCTGAGTGCGAATGAGGCGGAGGAGATCAATGATCATCTTGGCGGAATGTAACATACCGGGCTATCACCAGCCAATCCATCTCCGGTGACCGTACAGCCCACAGCCACGGCGGCGGAGTGGCAGTGTGGGTAAGAGAGACCTTAGCATAGGAGCAGACAAGCCAAACTGCCAGCAGCAAGAGATTGTCTGGCTCAGCATCCAGCTTCAACCAGCCAAGAAACTGGCCATTGCTGCAGTATACCGTCCTGGCTCCTGCCCAGGAAATGCCATGGTATCTCTCTACTGGAGTACTTTGATGCAAACTTAGATGTCACAAGATGCCTGGGCTCACATGTACTCCTTGCTGGCGACTTCAATGTCCTGAACACGGCATGACTAGGTAGTACAACGACGACAGTAGCTGGCAAGTACGCTGGGGAGCTCTGTGCTGCACATGGACTTGAGCAGCATGTGTCCAGACACTAGAGTAACATGCGGGGAGAAAAACCTCGATCTGGTACTAAAGGAACTTGCATGGCCAGGTGCCTGTAGACATCCTCAACCCGATTGGCAACTCGGATCATGCCACAGTCTTAGCAAAGATAGACATCCCATGAAGTCGTGAAGCACCCACATCCCGGAAGGTTTGGAGGTACTACCAGGCTGACTAAGGGACATCTGGACAGGTTTATGTAGATGAAGACTGATATCTGTCCATGACCGGCTTTTTGGTCTCCTATTCGTCACTCTTCCACTCCCTCACTCCGATTTAGAACACTGCTAGCAACCTGATGATCAACTGAACTTGTTCCCTCCATTCCCTCTCTGGCTATACTACTGGCCCTTCTCCCTTACTCCCATTACCAATCCTGTCATTTGCTCACTATTATCTCAACTACTGTGCACATGTGCCAGGGGCGTAGCAGCCGGTCCGGCCAAAGCCGGACCACTTTTCACCCGACCACGTTTTGCACCCTAATTCCGAAATTCCGTGCTATGTGCCTGTGTGCGAGTGTGTATATCTCTACGGGCCTTAAAATACTACAGTGAAACCTTGTTAAGAAGAACGCTGATAACTTCCGCTTTAGAAGAACTAGTATCCGTAACTCTATTGGATAAATCACAGTGTATTCACTGGGTATATTATATGGATAAGAAGTACTCCTGTTATTGTGAACACATACCAGCGGTCCCTTGGTGTTCGTCCTAAAAAGGTTTGACTTTAGTTCTCTTCTATTTTCTTCCCTTCACTTGGTGCACAGTCTCGTGCTACTGGTTCTTGTCTCTTTTCTCTTCACTTGGTGCACTGGGCGTACATTACGGTCGAGACCTCAGATCGACTAAGTGCTCAGCCCCAACACCATGGCACTCCTCTATTCATCATAATTATCTCAAGGTGTTTGGAGTATGGAGGTTCAGTAAAAACGAAGAAGAACACAGAACAAGGCATGCGGGGCTGTGATAACTGTCATCGGAGTGGGTACAGATCGAGACACAGGACATGATGACCACATACCTGACTGTTGATGTTGCAGTGATAGATTCTGGTCTTGAACACAACCTGCCCACGCACCACAGCCCACGTACAACAACATCAGCAGCAGCAACCGCATCAGCATCAGCAACAACCCAAACAAACATTTATGTACTATATCGATACCAGGTAGACAGAGGTAGATCTTAGACTAACTTACTCTCAAGCCTTCGCTAGATCTGAATGATGGAAACAGCTGCATGGAGGAATCGATGACGGTGAATAGAAAGTACTTCAACTTAAGGTTGTACTGCTGGTGCGGTGACCGAGGGTGGCAGGGGCCGGGGAGAGCATGTGCTTGGGAGTGGGTACTAAATCCGTAATACAGAGTCGTCAATATAAACCTTAGACTCGATTTTTGGACTGATAGTAAGGCGGATTGGAAGACATAGCCGCTATTGCAGAGATGACACGGACAAGCAAAATAACGACCGTGCTTGATTTTGATAGCGTACCTTTGGTGGTTCAAACGGGTAGTTTGTCGGGAAGTGTATCTTCAGGAAAAACACGCCGCTATCGTAGACAGAGTCTGAAGGTCCCATGATCGTTGCTATCCAGTCTGTCAGTTTGTCACCAACTAGCGATGCACTGCGAACCGAAGCAGCAAGTACATACACACATGCACGCCCGTGTACACACACATATGCAGAAGAATGCACCACAGTTGTGTGTCAGTTATCCGGCACACTCGGGACCAGACGCTGTCTTTTGATGCTCTTTTACTAGTATTATCCAGAGAAAGTCGCCATGCTCATCGAGAGACTGACTTATACGTGACTTTGCACAAATGCAATGTTCATGGTGCTCACTATCCATATCTACTTGAGTAGGACTAATTTAGTGTAAACATACCGTGTATGAACTGACAGTGCGCTGCTGGATAACCGACGTGCCGGATAGGCAACATTCAACTTAACTCTACTACATAATTACACTGCAATGTGATCCACTTAGCAGACCATAAGACCGTCAATACAGTGGTTTCACAACTTTGTCACATGACTACATTTGTGTAGAACGTGATCATGTGATGTGGACAGTGGAACCAACATGGCCGACATCATGTGACCCATAGATACAGGGGTTGAGTGGAGTTGTAATCAACATGGCTGCCCTGTATGGTCATGAGATAGATATGAAACAGCTCTATAGATAGATCGGTAGTGAGCCATGCTGACACATAGCAATAAACCGGCGTACCGGTAATCAAGGTCATAACCCACAACTCAGTCTTAGGCAATAGAGTGTGCAACTCCAGTCTGTGGCCATGGGGAGAGGGAGTCTGCAACGGCAGAACTTCACATCATGTGGTAAACCCGTACACATTATTTGCACCCTGTGCACGATAGATACATTATAGTACCGGTACAGGGTTGTGTGCAACCCTTATTTGGGGTCAAGTCTCTGGTGATCACTTAGTTCTGTTTGCTTGTTACAGTGTAACCTACTGACTATATCACGCTATGTGAAGCTCTGCGGATGCAGCAATGGATAGAGGTTGTACAGGCAGTTGCACACTCTTCAGGGCTATTAAACACTCGGGTGTAATTGCACTGCTACCCCAGTAGGCATAGATAGTGAGCGGTGCGACGGCCATTTACCTGCAGTTCGGTGGCGGGTCGGACAGGATTTCGGCGAGCTCCTTCTGCAACCTGTGTGTGTATAAGTCCGCAGGCAATGCCAGGCACCATGCATGCATGTACACCCATATACATAGACACACGCACACACACATACACACCGCTATAAAAGTATGCCATAAAAAGCAGCTGCATACCTAACTAAAATCACCACCATGCCATACATCATGCGATCACACTGCTCTGCATGCAGCACAACCAACATGCCATACATCATGCAATCACACTGCTCTGCAGTAGTAGTGCAATCACCATGCCATGCAATGAGTGATGCCGGCAAGGCAATGTGGTTGTGCTGAGTACTGACCTGCGCTGTAGAGTGCTGTTGACCGGCGAGGGGCGAGACGATCGGCCAGTGCTAGCTGAACCGCCAGAGCTGCTCCGCGCGGTGGCTGCCGTGGCGGCGGCACTGGAACCAGAGCTAGAAGCAACACCGCCGCTGGCACTCATCTTGGAATCGGCTGGCTGTGAACTTCAACACTGTATGATACTGGTTAGTCTGCACGGCAGCTACTATGCAGAATACAAACTAGTGCTGTTGCTGTAATGCAGCTGAAATGTTGCCGGTATATCGTTGGGTCTACTGGTGATTGGAGAGTACTGGGCACTGCAGTGGATGAACCTGTAACCTGTAACCTGCACAGTTTGAATGGAAACAACATATACATGCAGAAAGCCGATGAGCTGACAGAGAGGACATATCCGCGTGATGGTGTCAGTAGTCAAAGTATTCACTAGCAGCCGTTTGGTCCTAGTGCTGCCACCACAGCTATCACCCGATACTGGCATCATACACGGCATCACTGATAGCACGACCGGCATAGGAAATAGACCTTGCAGTTACCATGGTTACGGTCCAGAGCCAAGGCGCAGCACTGAATACAAGCGTCCGACTAGTAGCTGAGTGATTTTTGAAGCAGGCATATGATATAGCCAGCGAGGAGGCAAGGAATTCCTTCATACTCTCGGCTTTACACTTCTACGATCAATCATCGGGCAACCCTGTGGCTTGTATGCGCGCCATGTAAACACTGAGAAATACATGTATTTCCCTATCCGTGATTGCAGGGAAGGTCTGTGGACTCGGGGATTTCCCTTTCCGTGATTGCAGGGAAGGTCTGTGGACTCGGCTGCGCAGTAGAAAGATGATGCAATGCGGCTGGGCACCACTGAGTCGGTGTTGGGCATTCAGGACGCTCGGTACAACAATGACCCAGCCAATTCCAGTAGAGTACGAGCAAAACTGCCCCCCCCCCCCCCGCAACATATACAATACAGGAACAGACAGACAGACACATGCACACACACACACATACACACACACACACATACACACCATTTGACGCCCATCGCCGGAGGCGATGATAGCGATGCTACAGCAGAAACCATAGCAACTTGTGCTGGGATTGCACCATTCAACAGCTTGCAAGGCTGAAGAATTGACCGCCACTATTCAGCCTGGTCTACACCACACAGCCATGAAGTGGCTTTTTCTGGCCAGTGAATCCCTACTTTTTGGTCTTTTTTAATTGTTTTCCTGCACACACATCACACCACATACTCCGGTATGCACTGGCTGTTGGTAACCACCCAGGAGAATGAAAGAAAAGTTAGGAAGAGTCTGAGAAAGAGAAGGAAGACGTGTGTGACCATAATCGTCGGGAATCGAATCCGCAACCTCTCGATCGGAAATCGCTGCACATACCACTGCACCATATGGGCACACACACACACACATACACACACACACACACACACACACACACACACACACACTGAGACTCAGGATCTCATCGACAGCCATGGTGAAGCGGTCTGGGAGCACGCGGGCAAAGAGCTTCCCAACAACGGTCCAGATCTGGCAGTGCATGAACATGTACATGACTTGTACAAGTATCCCAGCCCATACACGGTGTACATTACCAGCAGATTGCCATCAGCATAAGTACAGTACTGCACTGACCCTGCAGTATTCACGGTGGCAGTTCTACACCCTCCCCTGTGACTCTCAAGTTGCCTGGCACACCCCCCCCCCCCCCACACCCACACCCACCCACACACACTGCTCCAGCCAGCAGGCAGTTCATGACTCTACCAGTGTACTGGACCAACCTCTCCAGTTTCCTGTTCAGCATGCTGCATGATCCGCTCTGGCCCCAACCCGTACTCTGCCATACCAGAAACATTAATCCGGACAAGGCTACCAAGGAGACCAGCTACGCGACGCTGCCCATAACGGAAATGCCTTAGCAAACGGTGCCTTTCTGCTGTGATTGCCTCTGCATGTTGCCACCGGCACGAGTGCGCAATGCAGGGACCAAGTCTCTGAGGTCGCGTGCCCGTACCATATGAGGCAGCAAGACTCAGCGGCCCCGCACTTAAAGACCTTCCAGATACTTCCCGCTGCACACAGCATTCTCCGCGCCCGGCCTAACTGCCAAGCACATTCGCACAGTGGCGTGATGGTGATATCGTGCGATGAGTTTGTGGGCATGCGCGGCCACTGAGCACTGCGGCTCCAAATCGGCCGATTTGATGCCAAGTAACCATGTGCGTGTACGCAACTTGACCCCCGCACGCCGCCTCAGCGAACCACCACCACTGCGGAATCTAAATCAAGGTTTAATTATCTTGCTTAGCCGCGTGGGCCACGGTGCGGGAAGGGAATAATCATGACTGAAGTAACATTTGTCGTTGAGCTGCCTGGGAGTCAAGTTTCACAAACAGGCAAGAAAAGTATTGTGTTGACACCTGGTTCATTACTCATGTCAAATAGTGGCTGTCAATTTTCCAGTCATCCACCCAAGGCTGTTCAGTCATATCCAGCGTGTCTACCTCACACAAATACGCACCCACACATACGCACCTCTGCAAGAAATGCAGTGAAACGCAATCCGCACGCCACTCCCAGCCGTGACTCCAGCACAGTCCAGACCTGGGGACTCAAGTCGTGGACGTAATGTGATGTCAACTGGATGCCGCACGCACCGTGTCCGTACCGGCTTCCGCAAAACCTTTCCACGGACAATTCCTGCGATTTACCGTGACTGCATACGGCCAAGTCACACTGCCACACAAATCCTCTTTCACACAGCGTGGAGAGCCTGAACGTGAAATTGTCCAGATCGATCAGCGCTCAGTTACAACAATGGAATTAAAAGCACGGCGGCTGTTTGGAATAATGTCGCCACCAGAACAATCCCAAGCAGGATTAGAAGGCACCCCACTCACACACCCGGCCGTGACGGACTGGCACACATGCAGAACAAGCTGCTTTCTTATTGCTAGACGTCATTCTACAGTGACCGCATGCCATCACATACCCAAACCTTGCAGCCCAAACTCAGATGATTGATTACCTTCTTTTCTTTGGACGCGATCCGTCGCTCGGCCCTGTAGCAACTCCACGCTTGGGATGAGCAAAGAGACAACTCGCCACAAGATGCCGTCGGGAGATTGTCTGGAGAGCTTTGAACACAAAGGAGGAAGCTTGACTTGCTTGCTAGGCCAATCCAACATGTATGCTTTCTGCGGAAAGTTCATGAACGACCCCAGCATACTGCACTGCATAGACGTACATAGAATGCAGGATACACGTGACAAGGGATTTGCGCATGCGTCTTGATGACTTCACGCACTAGTTGTTACTGCACTGCTTGCTGCACGGGACGCGGACGGCGGCGCATTTGGGTAGCGATCGCCGAATCTGGCACTGCACTGCATGCATGCAAGAAGCTGGTTTGTCGTGTTGAGTGTTTTATGAGTCGACCCTGGAAGACCGTCGGTAGATCTACCCGCGCCCGTGTTCATTGTCCTTGATGGCGTGCGTGGTGTCGTTGTTGTCAGTTGTCTTGACCAAATACATGATGTACTAGTAAATGACCAGATAATGGCCTCGTTCGTAGCTCACCAAAATAATAATAATCCCTGTATGCATTGGCACTTCTGGTAACTGACCGTCGACGCCATGCGCCATGGCATCGGTTCGAGGGCGCGGTGCCATGCCGGATGCCGGGCCCGACGCCTGGATTGTTCTTTTCACATCAAAAAACATGCATATCAATGATCCAGGCCAGCAGCGCTGCAGCATGCATGGTACATAATAATTATTATGTACACATGGTGGCAACATGATATGACACTTTTGACAGCAAGAACTACACTTTGTAGAAATCCTCACCAGAAAAAAATTATCGCTTTCAAATCCAGCATCGATGCATCATCAAGACATCATGCCAGATAAGGGACTTCTGAAAAGTGTCGCCTTCTGAAAATGATGGTGTATTTCCGACTTTGACCAGTACTGCCCACTGGCAGCAGCTCTTACTTGGTGGCCGCTGCACATCACGTCCAATCTTGCCGGGCTGCTGTGGGGCAAATGGCGAATGGTCCCAGACCTAGTACCTAAGTTACTTGAGAAGTAAGGGTCACTCAGATGGTGCAGAAGGTCGTCCACCGACGGTCTCAGTCCGGCACTCTTGCATGTCGGCGCGGCACTGCTGAGCCTAGGCCTAGCTCGAGCCGAGGAGCTGAAGCCAAGAGAAGGGAAGTGACCACGCCGGGAAGCCTGGTCTGTCACATGATCATTGTGCCACTGTGTGCTGATGTCGTTCAACGACTTGCCTGGCTTGGTGCCTAGGCTATGGTCCAGTATGGATGGAAAGATATCATAATAAGTAAGTTACCGGTACTGCAGGATGTACATGTACGTACTCGTCCATCATGACGACCAATTTATGGGCAGTACCGTAAAATGCAAAGTGCCCCCCCCCCCCTTCATGAACACACCATTGACCATTTGACGCCCATCGCCGGAGGCGATGATAGCGATGCTACAGCAGAAGCCATTGCAACTTGTGCTGGATGAACACCCACACACCCACACCGAGTGTCGCTTTCCAGCTGTTTTTTGGGCAGGGGACGCCGACGGGACTTACAGTCACTGAGTGTATATCCAGACTGTCAAGTGCAGAAGGATTATGAGCAGCAACGCAAAAGATCAGGGCGTACTCATTGCTTTGTGCAGTTTCATCCACAGCCTACCTGCACCGGCACATGTGCCTGTGTCGGCTCACCGCAGCATATTTTGACTTGTACGCTGAAGTCGCTTTCCAGGTAGAAATCGACGGGTGTGTGTGTGTGTGTGGGGGGGGGGGTGTAGAGAGGGGACGGATCAACGGTTCTTTAGAATAGTAGGAGCCTTGCTACTTGTAGAGTGTGATGCTGTGCATGGTATCCTCTGTGTCTGTCTCTGCCTCTGTGATGACCAACGAACAGCTCACTCTAGTTCTTTTAAAACTAAGAACCGCCCGAATTGGAAGGCTGTTAGCGTGCGCATTCGAGATGTGATGGAGCTAAACGTCAGGTCCGACCGTCGTTGAATGTCAGTACCATAGCAGTTATTGTTGTGCTAACTGTTGCACGGTGCGACTCACCAGTAGCTTGCTCATAATTGTCAGTATTGCGGGACAACTACGGATAACATTTCAATCTTTGGTCCTTTCTTCTTGAACTATAAGGTTATTATTACTTAGTGATGCAACAATCTCTCCTCCTCTTCTCCTTCATGCACTCTTAGCCGATATGTTGCTACCCTCGGTAGCCATTACGCACGCCAAAAATCCCCGGATGTTTCATTATTGAACAGCCGAATGGTACCATTCACCATTTTATAGATACAGTCCACTCCTGATATAACCAACACCATTGTGCAGGATAATTAGTTCAAGTTTATAGCTGAAGTTCGTTATAACAGAAATGCGCTCACACCATAGAAGCAGCAAGTCATGACTGGCAAGTGGCCCCAAACAGTATGAGAGCACTTGGTGTACATGCAGCCCTCCAAGATTTGGTTCGTTATAAACGAAAACTGTTCGCTATAAAGGGTCAATTTTGTGCGGGTTCAAACAGGGACATGGACAAGGGTTCGCTGTATCACGAAATTCGCTATATGCGAGTTCGTTATAGGTGGAGTCGACTGTATTATTATAGCGCTATAGAGTACAGTCAGACCTCGCTTAACCGCACACATCCGTTTTCTACATAAATATCCGGATAGGCGAGGGAACCGGATAATCGAACACACATACTGTATGTGTGCAAGGCATATGCTGTAAATCGGTAACCAACGATATTCTTCCGGATGGCGAGGGATCCAGATAAAAGAGGACCGGATAAGCGAGGTCTGACTGTATTACACTCCCTCGCCTCTGCTTGGTTGAGCACTCCTTTCTGGTTAGAGTTCAAGTTGTCTGCCCTGGTGCAAAGCTCACTGTGTTTATCGCCGCTAGAGCACTCTGAGTTGTCTGCCCTGGTGCAAAGCTCACTGTGTTTATCGCCGCTAGAGCACTCTGAGTCTCTGAGTTTTGCGCTTTGCGCCAGTTTAAAAATGTTTTTGTTGTTCAGTAGACTTCATTGTGATCTCGGGTTCGGCCAGTAACTCTGAGCTCTGCTGAGAAGACCTAAAGCGGTCGACTCTGAAGTCTGAACAGCATGCTGTCCGGAGATTGAATAACTAAAAGATGTAGTGGAGCAGAGTCTCGACTCACAAACGAATTTTGTTGTTTGTTGATTTTCATCCAGTTCGCACTGTAACGGGAACTTGACGCAGTAATGCTGCATCCAGAGCTAGCAACCCAGTGTCTAGGGTAAATAGCATCTACGTCAGGTCCCATGATAACAGATCTCGGCATTGCCCCAGCGAATTGAGTTCTTTCCTCAGTGATCTACTTTGAACTTAGCATTCATTGGAGGGCCCGAGTCTCCAGAATTGGTAAAAGATGGCAGGCTGGCTGTCTTTGGGCTCAACCTGCCAAAAAGTGTTGGTGTTCAAATACAATGCAGATACTCATGCAACGCCAAGTGCACGAAAAACCCACCATGCTTCGGGCGAGTATGTTTCAAGTTCAAACCAATCCCTAATCTGTGCATGCTTTAAATGACCGATATCTCCATTTAGATTTGGGACGCATCACAGTCCTTCTGTTCCGTTCCAATCACCTTACCTAACTTACGGTGCCTGTAATTATTACAAGTTTACAATAGCAAAGCGTAGTTGTAGCTACAAAGCTTGCAAGGAAAAGTCATCAGATGACGCACCAAGTCAGTATTTTTGCCGCTTCACCCTGCACTCGGAGTGTGTAGTGGTATTCCCTTCTGTTTGTACTGCAGTCTTCTTTTGCAATATGTTGTGGGTACACAACCCAGCCACGCCATTACGAGCTATACACAGTACACGTGCCGCACAAACGCATGCGTGCACCCTTCCGACCCGGTGTACACAATTTCTTACTTCACCACATTCACCACCATTAAGCTCTACCATTGCATCATGCATACTGTTACAAGCGTCCCATACTCGGCTGTGCGAACCATGTAGAAGGGAAACTAAACAAAACCCTTTCATTTCCCTTCCAAGTTACACATGGCTAGCTATCGCCTTCATCTCTATAGCGGGATTCTCCTCATATGTAAAGTTACATTATAACATTGGTTTTGACCGATTTCTGTGTGACTAGTACTGTATGTGATTTGGTCAAGACAACCAGCAAGGGTAGGGCACGGTGTTTCTGAGGTTATCTCAAGTTAGAACATAGTGCTCTGGTGAGGCAGACATGGTGCTCTTTTGAGGCAGCTGGACGGAATAAGAATTAAGATCACGCCAGTGCTGAGGGTACCAGCTTGATTTGCTAGCTATAAAGCAAGACCGGGCCGACCTGGTGTCATTACAATTGTTTAACACTAGTGAGAACAGCACCTCTACCAACACCACCGACACCACCAACAACAACACCATACAACACCATCATCACCAACAACAACTTCATCACCACCAACAACAACAACTCCATCACCACTACCAACAACAACAACACCACCAACACCGCCACCATTACCAACAACGACCGCGACAACGAATCTTATCATGATTGTGTACTTACCAGTAGTTTCTGCTGTCTGTGATTCCGTTTCCAACCACGGCCTTGTGGCTACTTAGTGACACTGTGCTATTGCTAATAACCACAGCAATTACCAGTATTACTATTAGTGTAAATGATGCACATGCACAGAACCAAGGCAACCTTACTTTCCACAAAGGTGGTTACCATCCCGTGACGACTACATGTACTGCTGACAACATGCAGACTTACAACTAGACTGCATGAGCACAGTACAACCGACTAGGGACCGGGTGGTATGCCAGTACATACATGTATGCCACCTGGGGTGTTTACTGACTCCGGCGGACCAGAACCTCACCGCTAGGTCTGCTTGGTCTCCGAGCGTAGCCTCAGTACTTCAGACAGGTTGGGCGTCATACCGCAAGAGGACTCGAGGTCGGAGTAGCCGCTCTCACAAGGCCCGTCTACTGGAAAAAGAAGGCTACCAAAGTTACTCACGAGACGGTATGATAAGATCTGCTCATCAAGATGTGAATTTGAACTTTTCTTTCAGCTTCATACCGGTGCCTACTACGTATACGTAGTATGGCTATATACATGTAGCTGCTGTTCTTGTGTAACTAAAAGCTTGT